ATTTATCTATCACACCTCCTAATACGGTACAACCCCACACGCACTTTAACCTCTTAAGCCCTGAGGCCTATTTTCCGAAAATCCTATACTTTTACTTTTTAAGGCATTTCTCAGCTTTTACAAGGCCTAAACTGCAAATCTTGGTATCAAAATGAAGATAGGTTCTTGGGGAGTGGTGTGGATGAGTTAATTTGACAGTCAAGAACACTGGGTAAGAGTAATTGATGTTGGAATGGCCAAAAAATGAACTCCGCCTAAAAAAAAAACACATGTTTCCTCCAATATCTCCTTATTTTACTTATAACGAAGCAAATAAACACAATCAATTGTAACCACTACATGTCAAGAACATCTGTAGCAAGTTTGGTGTTCATACTACAAGAAACTAATATTCTGTAAAGGTTTTGATTGAACAAAGTTCAGGCGTAATCCATGTTGGCACAGTTTGGCACAATTTGGCACAATAATTGAAATATGGAAAAAATCTTGTCCAAAGCTTCAGCTACGTTAATAGTCTTCTTTTCTTGCTTATGGGACATGATTTCAGCAAAAAAAACTCCTAAAGAAACGCTGTAAAAGGGGGGTAGAAGCTCATTTACGCCATCTTGCTGCGCTTTTGGGAACGTTTCACTCACAAACGCTTTGACGTCGAGCTTCTGCGTGTCCCTACCCCCCCGACCATCTGTCCAATCCAGAAGATCTATATATCGACGGAAAGCTCTGATTCTATGGAAACCAATCAGCTCAACCATTTTGAGACTGACGGGATCGCCGACGAATCACACGACGCGCAGCGTGGAGAGACGTGCTCTTACGCACGGGGAGTCATTCCATATTTGGTGACGTAATGACGCCACAAAGCTAAAGAAACAATCCAAAATGGCGTTTGCACGAAGCTATTGACCGGACATAACAACAAACGGACTTTTATCGCTATGGAAATAACTTTTTGTTGAAAAAAACGGCAAAGGTAAGACAAGATTTACATGCTTGCTTGGTTTTCGCTGGCGTTTTTTCGTGGAACTTTCGCTCCCTGCTCTGAAATACTTCATGCAATGTTAATGAGTTGCATATCACTGGATTCAGGTGGTTGTTAGCTTTCATTTAATGTAATGGTTTGGGTGTTTCCGTTTATATTGTGGATACATATCGCACATAAACAAAAACGTGGTCATGAATTATACTCCGGACATGTTGTTGTTTATTTGCATGGCGTTCGAGCTGTGGTTAACGGATATGAAATTGAATTAGATACGTTTTTAGAGGAGTTTCCGCTGAACACAACAGTATTTAATATGTGTGGGTTATTCTCAGGGTTCGTGAGCTATGAGTGAAAATGTAACGCACAAGGGGGCAAGTCCCCGGTACCGGGGACTCTCGGGCTTAAGAGGTTAAGATCCCAAAACTCTGGACTTCTAGTAGTTCCTAGAATAGCAAAGAGCACTAAAGGCGGTAGAGCGTTCTCACATTTAGCCCCTAAACTCTGGAATAGCCTCCCTGACAGCGTCCGTGGCTCAGACTCACTCGCCCAGTTTAAGTGTAGATTAAAGACGTATCTTTTCAGTAAAGCCTATACTTAACTCCGTGAAAAACTGTGCTCTTACATTAAACTATATTAATATTAAATTAAACTATATTAATATTATGAACAGCAGCTACGCTAATTCCGCTCCTCTCTTCTTTTCTTCTTTTCCATACTCATCCTGAGATTCGCGGAGGCTTCGCTCACCAGCACCTCACCCTAACAACCAGATCCACCTGGAGATGTTCCGGCGCCCCCTGGACCTCAGCCCACCAGCTCCACTCTTCTTCCACCAGCTCCACTCTTCTTCCAATACTCATCCCGAGGCTCCCGGAGGCCCTGCCCACCAGCTCCTCACCCCAACAACCAGACTCATCAGGAGAAGTTCCGACGCCGGGAGGCTCGCCACCAGCCCTCACCCTAACAAACTGATTCACCTGGAGATGTTCCGGCACCCCTGGACCTACACCGAACACAGTCATCATCTTTTTATATTATATTATCTGTTTATTTTTATATTATTATATCATCTGTTTAAACTATATTATCTGTTTATGTTTTATATTATTATATCATCTGTTTATACTACATTTTCTGTTCATACTACCATATCATCTGTTTATACCATAGTTTATCACACTGCTGTTGTTACCCAAATGAGGATGGGTTTCCCTTTTGAGTCCGGTTCCTCTCAAGGTTTCTTCCAAAAGGGAGTTTTTCCTTGCCACAGTCGCCCCAGGCTTACTCATCAGGGACATATACACCACTTATTAAATAATATCTTTTCACTTTGTTGAGTTTAAACTTGTTGGTTTACTGTAAAGCTGCTTTGAGACTATGTCTGTTGTGAAAAGCGCTATATAAATTAAACGAACTTGAACTTAAAACTGCTCGCTCTTGCAGATCCACCCTGTTCAACATCAGAAAGATCAGACATCTTACAGAACATTCAACCCAACTTCTGGTCCAAGCAATGGTCATATCAAGACTCGAATACTGCAATGCTCTTCTCGCTGGACTTCCTGCATGTGCGGTCAGACCCTTTCAGATGATCCAGAACTCAGCAGCTCATCTGATCTTCAAGGAACCAAGAATAGCACACATCACCCCTCTCCTCATCTCTCTCCACTGGCTTCCCATTGAGGCTCGAATCAAGTTCAAATCACATACAGGACAGTCACAGGCTCCGCTCCTTTATACCTTCACAAACTCCTCCAGCTCTACGTCCCCTCCAGAGGCCTCCGTTCAGAAAATGAACAGCGTCTGGTGGTCTCATCTCAGAGCGGCAAAAAACTCTCACCAGGACCTTCTCCTTCACAGTTCCTGGCTGGTGGAATTCCCAAGCTGAATCTCTTTACACCTTCAAAAAGCAACTAAAAGCTCTACTCTTTCAAGAGCACTTACTAAATTAACTTAAAAAAAAACAAAACCCTCTGAAGTACTGATTTGAATTCATTTTCTGTACTAGCTTGAAAGTGTTTTATGTGTATGTTTTCTGATCAACCCACTTTGTACCAAACTGCTTGATGTTTACTCCCAATGTAAGTCGCTTTGGATAAAAGCATCTGCTTTATACATAAATGTAAATGTACATGTAAGCACAGTCGTTAGTATCACTGTGGTGTGCATAGGGTTCTGGGTGTCACAGATCAATTTGTTCATTAGGATCTCTAGAACATGAATCTACTATTTGGTGTCATTTTGTAAGGGTTCCAGGGAGTTACGGCACAAGCACGGTCGTTAGTTTCAATGTGGTGTTCATAGGGCCATAGGAAGGGTTGTGGGTGTCACAGCTGGGTCAATGAGGGCTCTATTTGTTCATTAGGATCTGTAGAACATGAATCTAGAATTTGGTGTCGTTTGGTAAAGGTTCCAGGCTGTTACGGCACAAGCACAGTCGTTAGTATCACTGTGGTGTGCATAGGGTTCTGGGTGTCACAGCTGGGTCAATGAGGGCTCTATTTGTTCATTGGGATCTCTAGAACATGAGTCTAGAATTTGGTGTTTGGTAAAGGTTCCAGGCTGTTACGGCACAAGCACGGTTGTTAGTTTCATTGTGGTGTTCATAGGGCCCTAGGAAAGGTTCTGGGTGTCACAGCTGGGTCAATGAGGGCTCTATTTGTTCATTAGGACCTGTAGAACACGAATCTAGAATTTGGTGTCATTTGGTAAGGGTTCCAGGCTGTTACGGCACAAGCACGGTCATAGCATCAATGTGGTGTTCATAGTGCCCTAGGAAGGGTTCTGGGTGTCACAGCTGGGTCCATGAGGTCTCTATTTGTTCATTAGGACCTCTAGAACATGAGTTTAGAATTTGGTGTTATTTGGTAAGAGTTCCAGGCTGTTATAGCACAAGCATGGTCGTTAGCATAAATGTGGTGTTCATAGGGCCCTAGGAAGTGTTCTGGGTGTCACAGCTGGGTCAATGAGGGCTCGATTTGTTCATTAGGACCTGTAGAACATGAATCTAGAATTTGGTGTTGTTTGGTAAGGGTTCCAGGCTGTTAGAGACCTAAACATTGTATAATACTATGAAAACCCGATGAAATACGGTATGAGATGGGTCATCGTAGCCCCTCTCCTTGATGGCTTAGAATAACCTTCTTAGAGCCCTGATACTATATACAGAGTTTGGTGATGATTCAATGAAGCACTGATTTTTTATGAATTTTTGAAGGTGTAAAACTCATATAGGCAAAAACACCTAAGTGTGTTTTTAAGAGTTCAAAGGGCTCTAACTAAGGCTAGGAAGGTGCTAGGGAGGTCCATATTCTCAGTAGGCCCTAAGAAATCTGAATCTAGAGTATTGAGTTGTTTGGAGAAAGTGTCAGGTTGTGAGGGCCCAAACAAAACGTTACTTCAATGAAAACGCATTGAATTGAGTATGAGATGGGTCCTTGTAGGCCCTCTGAAGGTCCCCGCTGGGTCAATGAGGGCTTAATTTTTTCCTCTTAAAGCCCTGATACTATATCCAGAGTTTGGTGATGATTTGATGAAGCACTGATTTTATATGATTTTTGTAATGTTGTAAAACTCACTAACAAAATTTCACAGTTTGTGTAGCAAAATTTCTCAAAAGATACTCTCAGCTTTGATTGGGTATCTCCTAACTGAGAGAGGAGTGCAGGTGTCACCTCAAAATTCCAGTCAGGGGCTGAGATATGGAGATCCCACATGTGTTGACTTCCATTCATATTTTTTTGAATATGTGTGTTGACTTTCCTCTGCGAACCTTCTGGACTCCCCTGTCGACGCGGGCGCGAATTAGGGTTCGGGAAAAATCACCTAGAAGGGGCGGCGCGCACCGTCCGCGAACCATGATTTCACCTGCCCATGACGACAGTCCCTAGGCGGGATGACAAATGGCTTCCCTAACTCTCACTTCCCTAATGGGTGTTATTTTGGTGTGCCATCTGGAAAAAAAAAACTACAGATGCCACATGGGAAAAGATTTACGTGTTAAACCATAATTAAAGATGGGCTCATCTGTGATTTGAACCCAGGACCTCTCACACCTGAAGCAAGCATTATACACCTAGACCACCGAGCCATGGAGGGTGGATTTTGTTTGGTGTTCCATGTCGAAACAAAACTACAGATTCAACAAGAGGGGAAAAATGAGGTGTTGAACCACAATTAAAGCAGGACTTGTCCAGGATTTGAACCTGGGACCTCTCACACCTTGAGCGACAATAATACTCCAAGACCAACGAGCCATGGAGGGTTTTTTTTTTCTTTGGCGTTCCATCTGTAAAACAAAACTTCAGAAGCAACATCGGAGAAAATTTACGTGTTGAGCAACAATTAAAGATGGGATCATTTGGGATGTGAACCCAGGACCTCTCGTATTCAAAGCGAGAATCATACCTCCAGACCAACGAGCTATGCCTAATGGGTGTTGTATGGTGTGCCATCTGTAAACAAAACTACAGATGCAACATGGGAGAATATTTACGTATAGAAGCATAAATAAAGATGGCCTCATCTGGGATTTGAACCCTCTACCACTCACACCCAAAGCGAGCATTATACCCCTAAACTGCTGAACCATGGAGGGTGGATTTTGTATGGTGTTCCACGTGGAAACAAAACTACAGATTCAACAAGAGTGGAAAAACGATGATGATGATGATGATGATGATGGTCTTTATTTGTCACATACCCTGTTACATGTAGCGAAATGGGACCCCTCTGGCCACAGACATAGACAGGGTGGGGGACAGGCCAGTGATGAGAGGTAGCATATTTAGAGAGAAACAGAGAAATGGATATACATTAGGTAAATTAGCTTAAAAAAAGAGCCTTTCCGCATTGTCCTTCAAAAAAAGAGCACTGTGGAACAGGTTAAAAAAAAAGGCATCTGCATTCAAGCACTTTGACAAATACAGGAAAAGAACATCGCAGGATGAGGTAGGGGTCAGGGAAGTGGTGTAGCCGCTGCAGTCCGCAGCCGGCATTTTCCTGCAGCCAGATGGCGCTGTACTAATGACCCGTCAGATTACAGCGGTAGGGAAAAAGCTGGCGGAGATAAGTAAATGCGGGGGAGGGTTCTGAGACACTCTCTATATCAGGCTCTGCAAGGGGGATGTTTAGACTCCTCTTTGTGGCCTCCAAGGCCAGAGGAGATAAGGGAAGCCAGATAGTACAGAAGTTAATTTAGGTCAAAAGCTGTAAGTTTCCAGATTTTTAGAGTCTTTCCCCGGTCTCCATATTATTCAACTTACGTTTCAATTCTTCCAGCCTTTCCAGAATCCAGTTTGCGGTCACAGACCGTTACATGAGTCCCGACAGTTTTAAGTCCAGTCAACATTCCATTCCAGTCGGTCAGCTTACTGGGGCTTTGAGCACTGACTGCTTTTGATAATCGCCGATAGCCGAGAGCTCCACATATTCCAATCAGCAGAATCCCAGTTATCACAGTTCCAATTATGTAGATGTCTTCGACATCCTCCAGGGACAGAGCAGCCAGGCACACGATCCTCCACTTCGACCAGGAGTCCATCGTGTAGCCAGCAGCATAAGTTCCAGCAGGACAGGTGTGTTCCCCCGAACCCACGCTCCTCGTCAAGAAAATGGTGTCAATTGCATTCAGAGACCAGTTGATCAGATTCATAGTTCCTTTTATTTATAAATGAGATGTTGAACCACAATTAAAGCTGGACTCGTCCAGGATTTGAACTTGAGACCCTAAGCGAGAATAATACCCCTAGACCAACAAGCCATGGAGGCTCTGTTTTATTTGGTGGTCCATCTGGAAGTAAAACTATAGATGCAACAAAGGTGGAAAAATGAGGTGTTGAACCACAATTAAAGCTGGACTCGTCCAGCATTTGATCCCCAGACCTCTCACACCCGAAGCGAGCATCATACCTCTAGACCAAGGGTCAGCAACCCATGGCTCCGCAGCCACATGTGGCTCTTTCCTCCTTCTGTTGTGGCTCCCTGTGACTTTGGAAAATAATGAGTACTTAATATTAATTTTATTTTAGTTTTATTTAGTTTTATTTAGTTTATTTAGTTTTATTTTAAAATATAATTCTGAATTTGAAGATTATGGTAAACTTGTAACATTAAAATTAAACGTTTTTAATATTTTTAATATGCGTCACAAGCGCCGATGTGCGACATTCAAATTCCTGCCATCCCTCACATCTGGCAGCCGGGATTTTTCCAGCACACTACCAGCGTGATTTTTTGACCCCTGCCTGGAAGGTAAATGATGGATACATCCAAGAAAAGGAAAATATCTGAAGACAACAGAACGTTTAATGCTACCTGGGCAGATTCTTCTGCTTTCACTGCTGATGAAATTGGTTTACCAGTCTGCTGAAAAATTAGCCAACAAAACAAAAAGTGAAATGTTGCGAGACTTTTTGAGAACAAACACTCTGCCTTTGGTAAAAAATATCCAGAGGGAGAGGAGCGAAAAAAGGCCGTTTTGGAGCTAATTTGGAAGGTATATATGAGCAGAAGTCACTTCAAGAAGTGGATTAAGACTGGAAATTCAACTACATGTGCAAGTTTAGTGGCTGCTCAGTGGGTTGGATAATTTTGGAATTTTATTTCTTAAATAGGACGACTCAAATGGGTAGACTGGGTAGACACTCAATCAAGTGTAAAATGCTTTCGTTACATGTCGAAATATAATTCAGCAGTTCGTTGATTTCATTTTCATAAATGCAATAGTTTTTTGTACATAGCATAATATATACATGCATAATATATATAATGATGTCAAATTGGGTTGTGGCTCCGGGTGCTTTCTTTTCATTGGGGGCGGTCCCAAATGGCTCCCCTGCCCTAGACCAACGAGCCATGGATGGTTGTTTATATTTGGTGTGTCATCTTAGAGCTGGGCTCTTCTGAGATTTGAACCTGGGACCTCTCTCACCCCAAGCAAGAATCATACCCCTAGACCAACGAGCCATGGAGGTGTGGTGGATTTTCTTTAGTGTTTCATGTTGAAATAAACCTAAAGATGCAACGTGGAAGAGAATTTAGGTGTAGAACCATTATTAAAGCTGAGCTCATCCTGCATTTGAACCCTGGACCTCTTGCTCCCTTTGCGAGAATCATACCCCTAGACCAACGAGCGACGGAGGGGTGGGGTGTGTTTGGTGTTTCGTGTGTAAACAAAACTAAAGATGCAACATGGGAGAGAATTTGGGTGTAGAACCATAATTAAAGCTGGCCTCGTCTGGGATTTTTAACCCGGGACCTCTCACACCCTAAGCAAGAATCATACCCATAGACCAACAAGCCATGGAAGGTGATATTTATTTGGTGTGCCATTTCGAAACAAAACTACAGATGCAACATGGGAGAAAATTTACATGTTCAACCATAATCAAAGATGTGATCATCCAGGATTTGAACCCAGGACCTCTCACACCAGAAGCAAGCATTCTACCCCTTGACCACCATGCCATTGATGTTGGATTTTGTTTGGTGTTCAATGTGGAAACAAAACTACACATGCAACAAGGGTGGAAAAATTAGGTGTTGTACCACAATTAAAGCTGAACTCGTCTGGGATTTGAACCCAGGACCTCTCATACCCTAAGCAAGAATCATACCCCTAGACCAACAAGCAATCATAAAAAATATGTTATCAGGTGTGCCTTTCGGAAACAAAACTATAGATGTAACATGGGACAAAATTTACTTGTTGAACCATAATTAAAGATAGGCTCATTAAGGATTCAAACCCAGGACCTCTCACACCCTAGGCGAGATTAATACCCCTAGACCAACCAGCCATTAAGGGTAAATTTTATTTGGTTTGCCATCTGGAAACAAAACTACAGATGAATAATGTTTATATTCAACATTATACTCCAGATGTTGAATATAAATATTTATTTGTTTACTACCTTGTTAATTAATTTAATTCATATTCAGTGTGAGAAATAATTCACATGATCAGTGTCTTTGCAGAGATGAATATCCTTAAATATTAATAAATTCAGAAGAGGTTATCAAAGTGGTAGCCCTTTGCATTAATCAGTACCCAGGAAGTAGCTCTCAGTTTCACAAAGTTTGGTGACCCCTGTCCTAGACCAACGAGCCGTGGAGAGTGGGTTTTGATTAATAAGCCATCTGGACTCATCTAGGATATGAACCCGGGACATCTTACACCCGAAGCGAGCATTATACCCCTAGACCACCGAGCCATGGAGGGGTGGATTTCATTTGGTGTTTCATGTGGAAACAAACCTAAAGATGCAATATGGGAGAGAATTTATGTGTAACCATAATCTAAGCTGGGATCGTCCAGAATTTGAACCCAGGACCTCCCACACCAGAAGCAAGCATTATACCCCTTGAACACCGAGCCATGGTTTTTGGATTTTGTTTGGTGTTCCATGTGGAAACAAAACTACACATGCAACGTGGGAGAAAATTAACGTGTAGAACCATAATTAAAGCTGGGCTTGCCTGAAATTATACCTCGTAGACCAACGAGCCATGGAGGGTGATTTTCATTTGGTTTGCCATCCTTAAACAAAACTACAGATGCAACATGGGAGGAAATTTACGTGTTGAACCATAATTAATGATGGGCTCATCCGGGATTTGAACCCGGGACCTCTCAAACCCGAAGCAAGCATTATACCCCTAGACCACCAAGCCATGCAAGGTGGGTTTTATTTGGTTTCTCTTCTCAAATCTGAAGCGAGCATTATACCACTGGACCAACGAGCCATGGATGGTTGTTTTTATTCGGTGTGCCATCTGGAAACAAAACTACAGCTGCAAAACAAGGGAGGAAATATTAGGTATTGTACCACAATTAAAGCTGGGCTCGTCTGGGATTTGAGCCTGGGACCTCTCACCCCCCAGCGAGAATCATATCCCTAGACCAAAGAGCCATTGACCAAGAATTTTTTTTGGTTTGCCATCTTGAAACAAAACTATAGATGGAACATGGGAGAAAATTTACATGTTGAACCATAATTAAAGATGGGTTCAACCGGGATTTGAGTTAAGGACCTCTTGCACCTCAAACGAGATTCATAACCCTAGACCAACAAGCCATGGAGAAGGGGTGTCATTTGGTGTGCCATCTGGAAAAAAAAAACCAACAGATGCCACATGAGAGAAAATTTACATGTTTAACCATAATTAAAACAATCTAGCCACAGGGGTTGCAAGCCAGTGACTTCTGTGCCGGTCCCAAGCCCGGATAAATAGAGAGGGTTGCGTCAGGAAGGGCATCCGGCGTAAAAAATGCCAAAAACCAAATATGCGAGTCACCAAATCGATTTCCATACCGGATCGGTCGAGGCCCGGGTTAACAACGACCGCCTCCGGTGCTGTTGACTTACAGGGTGCCGGTGGAAATTGGACTACTGTTTGTCGAAGAAGGAGAGGAGGGAGAAGGATTCGTCGACAGAAAGAAAAGAGGAAAGGCAGGAGTATAGATCTGAGAATAGGGACTCTTAACGTTGGTACAATGACAGGGAAGGGTAGGGAGCTGGCGGACATGATGGAGAGAAGGAAGGTAGATATTCTGTGCGTGCAGGAGACCAGGTGGAAGGGTAGCAAAGCGCGTAGTATTGGGGGGGGATACAAACTGGTTTACTATGGTGTGGATAGGAAGAGAAATGGGGGTAGGAGTGATCCTGAAGGAGGAGTTTGTAAGGCATGTTTTAGAGGTGAAAAGAGTGTCAGACAGGGTGATCAGTTTGAAGTTAGAAATTGAAGGGGTGATGTTGAATGTAGTGAGTGGTTATGCTACACAAGTAGGCTGTAAGTTGGAAGAGAAGGAGAGATTTTGGAGTGAGTTGGATGAGGTGATTGAGAGTGTTCCCAGAGGAGAGAGAGTAGTAGTGGGAGCAGATTTCAACGGGCATGTTGGCGAGGGCAACAGAGGTGATGAGGAGGTGATGGGCAGGTTCGGTGTTAAGGAAAGGAACCTAGAAGGACAGATGGTGGTGGACTTTGCAAAGAGGATGGAAATGGCTGTAGTTAATACTTATTTCCAGAAGAGGGAGGAACATAGAGTTACCTACAAGAGTGGAGGTAGGAGTAAGCAGGTAGACTACATCCTATGTAGACGAGGCAATCTGAGAGAGATCAGAGACTGTAAAGTAGTGGTAGGAGAGAGTGTAGCCAGACAGCATCGGATGGTGATATGTAGGATGTTTCTGGTGGTCAGGAAGAAGAGAAGAGGAAAGATTGAAAAGAAGACCAAGTGGTGGAGGTTGAAAAAGGGAGAATATTGTGAGGAATTTAGACAGAAGCTGAGACAGGCTTTGGGTGGTCAGGAAGAGCTTCCAGATGACTAGGAAACTA